AAAAAAAAAAAAGAAAAAAGAAAAAAGAGAAGAAAAACAGAGTGGTGCGTGTTTGGGGCTCCAGTGGTGGTGAAGGCACTGCGCCCTTGTGGCTGACCACGGTTTGACTCCTGGTGGCTTGGAGTTCACGCCTGCCTGTGTGCTTGTATACCCAAAATGCTGAGAAGAGAGCAGGAGAGAAGGGATTGCAGCGTGGCCATCCCCTGGGGGCTGATTTCCCACTTCCTGTCTCTCTGTCTCTGTGTGTCTCTGGAGAGCACATGTGCCCTATAGCAAAATCTCTCAAAAAAACAAAACAACACCAAACATGGCAGTCCTATTGTTGTACTCCCACACGACCAACCACGGTTCAAGTCCTGGACCTGGTGGCTTGAAAATCATAGCAGGCGCGTGTGCGTGTGTGTCCAACAACCCAGGAGGAGAATGGAGAAGAGATTGCAGTGTGGCCATCCCCCCGGGGGCTGATTTCCCACTCTCCCTCTCACTGTCTCTTACTCCCCAGGGAGTGCACGTGTCCTAAAGCAAAAACCTCTTAAAACAAAGAATGGCACAGGTATACAGCTCCCAGCCGAAAGCCACGGGCCACGCCTGCAGGCTGGGCACGCTAGTGCAGGCAGAGGGAGCCCGTGCCCGTACCCGCTGCGCCTCTGCCCTCACGGATGGGACGCGGTGCCGCGAGGGGCCTTCGAGAGCTCATGAAACGTGGGACACAGGACTTTACTGTGGTGCAGAAGTTTGAAACCTGTCCAGTGTCTTCACCGTCCGCGCCTCTCGCATGGCCCTGAACTGCACACGTGTGCTTTCTGGAGTCCCACACGTTGGTTCTGGGGCTTCGGGTCTACCTGGTGGTACTCAGCACGCCTCGGCATCGAGACCGCCCAGGGTCCACAGTGGGCGTTCTGGTGTGCTCGGTCCCATTTCAGCCCCTTGCTGGTTGCTCACCCTTAGGCGCTGCCTCAGTGGAAGGATTTCCGGAGCCGGCCCTCCCCTCAGTCTTCGGGGTGAGGAAGCCGGGGTGCGCAGGGCTTCCCTGAGTCCCTCCTGTGTTCACAGCCCAGCCCCTGCCAGAACAGCTCCCAGCTGCCGAGGTCTGAGGTGCAGAGGGGTCGGGCAGGTGGCCAGCCCTGCCGAGGGGAATGCCAGGCTGCCCCAGCCTCCTGAGACTCGCCTTACCCTATGCCTGTATTTAGCCCCTGGGGTACATTGGCCTGAAGGAGAGGCAGCGAGGACAGAGCTCAGAGCTGGACACGGGTGAGGCGGCGAGACAGAGATAGGAGCCTGGGCACAGCCGAGGCGGCGAGACAGAGCTAGGAGCCCGGGCACAGCCGCGGCAGCGAGGCAGATAGAGGCACGC